CAGCTTTTCAGCCTTTAACAAAAAAAAAAACGTGCACGTAATGGAAGCGCTTTAGAAGGTGAAAATTAAAAATAATTGTCATTTGCCGAAAGCAATGAAAAAGAAGAGCACAGTAGCTGTCCAGTTAATGCAGTTTGCAGAAGAAGAAGAAGAAGAAAAAAAATGCGGTAATGATGTATATTGGAGGAAAGACACGAGGGCACATTCCTTTAGAAGAAGGCATAGGAGAAAAGAAAACAGATTGTACAGAGCATATAACTCCTACGGATAACAGTAAGAGAAACAAAAACAGCAACCAGTATTTGTTAAGTCTCAACCCCAAGTTGATTTTGTGTTTATTCGCATTAGGGGAGCATAGTGAATACGTTGTGTGTTTGAAATTGTTGCACTTTATTGATAATATTTCGTGTTTATGTGGTGAAGTTGTTCCATCTATCCGAAGCATCATCCTCATTTTTTGTTCTTTTTTAATTTTCTGTGGGACAATCCTACCCGTAACATCAAAGAAAAAAAGACCCACATTGAAATTTGCTTACCACCAAAGTTAATCTGGATCTATGAAAGAATAAGGCAGTTCAAAATGAATGCTACAGTGATAAATGCCAATTTTAATACGCGAGAGAGAACCCAGATTTTCCCTTCACATAGCTTTTACCCTATCCACGGGGTTTTGAAAAAAAAGTCCTAAATAATAGTTGGTTTAAAAGTATTTCTCAAATTCAAGAACTTTTAAAAATGTCAGTTAATTTGACGTTTTTAAGTCAAAAGACGTTAGTTGGTCTGACGTGTTTAGCTTAAAAACATACGTTTTTATGCAAGACATAAAACACACTTAAAAACATCAATTCAACTTACGTTTTTAGTGGAGAGGTGTGGTTGGACATAAAAAGGGGTGGTCTAATTACAACCACATCCCTATTACTTTTTAATATTTTCAATGGATCCCCACTTATTTTTTGGTATTACATACTCGTTTCATAAAATAGATTTACCAAAAAGAATCTTTTAAACATTTTTCCAAAAATCTATCACAATATCTATCTGCCAAATTAAGCAAAAAATAAAAAAAATGAAAAAATCTACTAACCTTTATTATCATTTTGTATTGATGATAACTCAATTTTGACTAAAATAACAAAAGCATAACGATCAAATTTTTCACGCAAGGGTAAAATATCCTGATTGAAGGGGAAATCCATTACAAGATGTCACATCCTAAGATGTGCAATATAATTCCATAAACAAGAAAGGGGGTAATGAAAATATCATAAACAATAAGGGTTGTCATTGTGATTTAAGCATAAATATGTATGTATCCGCCCAGTCTTTCAACTTCTCATCAAGGTCTGCCTGATTCCTTGAACATGTATGTACAGTAGCACCAAACCCAGCAAATTCCTCCACAAATGGCATGTCTAAAATTCAAACACAAACCCAAATTGCTCATCAGAAAAATCTTTTAAAAAACAAAATACACAAAAAAATTATTTCAAAAACCTAAATAATCGATCAGAACAATCATTCAAATATCAAAATACCCAAAAAAATTCACAACATAAGCCCAAGTAACCCATCAGAACAATGAACCAATACACCTAAAAATCTAATACCCAAATGACCTAACAAAACAAAAAACAAATCTGATTACAAAATACTCCATTGGCAAGAGAGAGAGAGATAGAGATACAAACTCAATGCCTCTGGTTCCGCTTGTGACAAGAGCAGTCTTTTCTTTAAGACTCCATCTTTCTTCTCTGGTACCCATGTCAAGGGATTTTGAAAGTTGAGCAATAAGGTCATCGGTGGCCATTTTTTTTCAGTAAGAACTTTTCTTTCTGAACCAAATAAAAACAATGACAACCTTTACTGTTTATGATATTTTCATTACACCCTTTCCTGTTTATGGAATTATATTGCACATCTTAGGATGTGATATCTTGTAACGGATTCTCCCTTCAATCAAGATATTTTAGCAGTACGTGAAAAATTTGACTATTATGCTTTTGTTGTTTTAGTCAAATTTAAGCTATCATAAATACAAAATGATAATAAAGGTTAGTAGATTTTTTATTTTTTGCTTAATTTGACAGATAGATAATTTGATAGATTTTTGAAAAAATGTTTAAAAGATTCTTTTTGGTAAATATATTTTATGAAGCGAATATGTTAAAAAAAAAAGAGGGGTGCACTGAAAATGTCAAAAAGTAAAAGGGATGTGGCTTTTATTTTGCATAAAAAACGTTAGTTCGTCTCGAATATAAGCTAAACAGATCAGACCAACTGATATCTTTTGACTTAAAAATGTCAAATCAATTAACGATTTTAAAAATCCATTGACGATTTTAAAAATCCCTGAGTTTGGAAAATACTTTCAAACCAATGAGATTTTTTTTTCAAAACCCTTGGGATGGGATAATAGCTCCCCTTAACATGTAGTATAAATGCAGCAAATGGTTTGGTTCACAACTAGAAACAACAAATTGTACAAAAATGGTTCCCGCCAGCTTATAAGAAGTACTTGAAACCTTGTACCAAACTTGTAAGGAAGATGCTCCGGGGAAAGGGAGGGAGTAGGAAAAATGGATCAAAGCAAGATGCTCGCTCCCTTCTAAATCTGCTTTATCACAAAGCAAAATGGAACTGAACACAAAAGTCAATTTGGCCACCACATTAAAGATTAAACTTTTGTAGAAAGCCAGTGCCACTAAAAGAAGCAAAGCGTCTGATTTAGCATAGGAGTAGCATGGTTGATTAGCACTGAATGCTCCAGGTCCTTCAATTATGGTATACCTTCCCTAGCACAGATCATCACCAACCCCCCCCCCCCCCCCCCCCCCCCCCCCCCCAACAAAAAAAAAAAAAAAAACAAAAAAAAAAAA